TGCAAGTTTATGATTGTAGTCGTGGAATAATGTGGGTTAATAATTACGTCTTTTTATGTGTGTTTTTTAGCCTAGAGGGAAAAAATGTAAACTTTTTACTCAGTAAAGAGTCTTAAAATAAGATTCTGGTTTTGTGCTTTAATATTATCACTGTTTAGGCATAATATATATAATTAAAACGTTTTAGTGAGTTGTAAAATAGTCTAGCTAGGTACAAAACATTTATGGTAGCTGTAGATATAATTTACGTGTTTTTATTCTCTGAAGAATTATAGTTTGGTTTAACTTAACCTTAAGACTACTAGTATTATACAGACGACTTTACAGTATCATAACTGCTTCTTCTTTTATACAGTAAGACATCAATACTTATTAAACGAAAATTATATCCACTCCAAAATAATTTAAAAAAATCAGTTACATGATAGTGAAACTCTACACATAGCAAACTGATGACAAAAGAAATGTTTTATTTCTCTACTAATATGGTTATTTCCAAATGTTAAATCATTCAAATAATAATTGTAAATAAAACTGTATTTACTAATTTCATACTGGTTTCCTTGTTTCGTAATAGTACATTCCACTTTCAACATTTGGTTTGGCCCTATGAAGGGTTTTGAAACATTATCTATGGACTGAACATCAGAATATAGAAGTGATCATTCTGTTGTCATATGTGATGAATGCCCAAGTTGTGATAAGAAAACCTGGATTTTTATACAAGCAACTTACACATTTCAGATTGAAAGTCAAAATAGGATAAATGTGTTAAAGGAAGATCATATATTTTGATAGTGAAATCCTGATAAATAATATATATTTAGTCCTAAAAGTAAAGAAATAACAAAAACAACGGAGCTTGGGTACAACAAAGGTTTATTTTGATACACTGCTCAGCACAGATAGAACCAATGAACGAGAAATGTTACTTTTCATAGCTAATGTACACAGTTTGCACTTAATATTAGTTTAAACACAGTTTACAAATAACATAAAGGACGGTAGGCGAACTTTTTGTGTTTGCAGTTATTCACAATTGTACACAACACCCTAGATACATTCAGCTAGTAAATAAACTACAAAAGTTTTTTTTTATAAATTGGTTAATAAGAATAATTCACCACTATATAACTATACATTAATTTCTATAAATGAAGAAATTACAGTTAAATAACACAGGACTGGCAGTGTCTTCTTGAGCTGTAAAGATGCAAAAAATACTGTAGCAAATGTAATAAGAGATCGGCCTTTCACTGGCATTTGGCAAAACTTAAGATAAGAAAATGCAGCTTAGAAACAGTATTGTTTGGTGGCAGCTCACCCTGTATAAGTTAAGTGTAGGGTGTTAATTCAACAAACATGTTTGTTCAATATATGGATACAGGAAATATTCTTAGCAAATCAAAATCAACCCAAAATTGATCTCGCACGTGTAATGCATCATATTGGACGTTCAAGGCTTTTCTGGTCATTATTTGTTTATATTTAAAATGTACCTAGCACTCTATTAAATGTTGGACCCTTTTTCATTAGTTACCTTCTAAACACACTGGCCCAGAAAGAAACATTATGAAAGTTATTTAATTATTTTAAAAGTTAAATTTTATCATTCCTCATAAACTATGAATAAGGTATTTTTATATCTCCAACAAAAGATGGCACTTCATGAAGAAGGGTCAAATATCTTGTGATCTTTAAATATATAACTTTGTAGTTCATTATTTTGATGGTCCCTTAGTATCCTGAGGATTGGGTAATTGATGAAGTATGTTAGTAAGATCAGCCCCTTGGTAATTACACAACTCGCAGTACCCAGGTGGACCCTGGGGTCCAGGTGACCCTCTTACACCTGGGATTCCATGTCTTCCTGGAGGACCTCGTTCTCCTGGACGTCCAGGTAGACCAATTCCTGATGGACCTGGTGGACCTAAAGGAGAGTTTCAATAGAAATAAATTCCTTACCTTTCATTTTTATGAAACAAAGCATAAAAAAATAGAAAAATTTTAAGTCATAGTTCTTTAATATTAAAAAAAACAGCTTCTTCATATAATCATCTTGTTAAAAAGAAGTTAGTGAGAGTTGAAAATAAAATTTGTATATTTGAATTTTCAGTATGTTAGACAAAAGGACATTTCTTCAATTTTCAGTAGCAAGTAACTTTCAAATAATAAGTCACCTGGTAAACCTCTCAATCCCATTGGACCTTCAATTCCAACACCCTCTAGACCACGATCACCCTTGTCACCTCGAGCTCCTAGAGTACAAACAAACTGCTTTGTTAGCTCAGTAAAGTGGTTAACAACTGGTATCCAACACATGTTTAATTTGGACTGACTGCACTAAATTACAAGTTTGGATCTTTATATGAAGTTATTAATTACTACTTAAAAAGTTAAAAACTTGTTTTGAATAAAGTAAAGCTTTATTAAATAAAAACTGTTTATTTTCTTGTATAGTGGATGTCACATGTTATGTACGACACACGATGATGGTGTATGTGTTATGTTCGACACATGGTGTTTGTAGTGTATTACGTATGACATGATGTTCACGGTGCAGGTGTTATGTACGACACACGATGATGGTGTATGTGTTATGTTTGACACATCATGGTGTTTGTAGTGTATTACGTATGACATGATGTTTATGGTGTATAAGATATGATGGTCTTTACGGTATATGTTACTATGACCTTGATAGTTGGTTTATATTTTAATCGACTATATGTTTAGTAATTAATAAAAATTATCCCATGAGCTTCACCTTTATGTCCTGGCAGTCCTGAAGGACCTGGTGGTCCAGGCATACCCATGAAACCCCGTTCGCCTGGAAATCCTTGCATACCAGGAACACCTGGTGAAACCATAAAACTCTTGTAACTGAACTAGGATTACAAAGCTTATTCATTAGCAGTGGCTGTGTAACATTAAACATTTGTTGATTTTTAACACAATTACTAGAATCAGAAATCACCCAATTTTAGAAGCTAAAACAGATTAATTCAACAAAGTATACTCTGTGTACACAAAAACAACCAAGCTTTAAATCCAAAAACAATTTTAGTAATATAATTATGCCTAAATCTGTAGAGGTTTCTTCTTATCTAAAACACACTTTTAGGTCATTGTGAGATGTAATACAATCAAACTAACAACTTACTTCAGGATACCATGTGGCTGACAGGAGTGAAATAAAGCACTTCAGTAGTCACTTTACATTGTTCTACTGTATGTTTCACACTTACAGGATATTATGTTGCTGACAAGAGTGAAATAAAGCACTTCAGTAGTCACTTTACATTGTTCTGCTGTATGTTTCACACTTACAGGATATGACGTGGCCGATAGGAGTGAAATAAAGCACTTCAGTAGTCATTTTACATTGTTCTACTGTATGTTTCACACTTACAGGATATTATGTTGCTGACAAGAGTGAAATAAAGCACTCAAGTAATTACCCTATTTTGTTCTACTGTATGTTTCTCACTTAGAGGATATTATATGGGTAACAGAAGAGTAATAAATTCCCTGAACTATTTCCACACTTTACTCTAACATAAGAGCTCTTTTCTCCTCCTCATCAATTTAATTTTGAACAGTAAGGTTTTTCATTATTTTGCTAGACCATCAGATTACATGTCAAATGATTAATTACTTAAGATTTGTTTTATATAATTAATCTATTCATACGTCACCACTAGGGAAGTTTGTGTTGACGTAAAACTGAGCTAGCCTTTGAGCAAATAAAAACATAAGTAAACAAAACGATAGGATGAAAAACAAATAAATGATAAACAAAGATTGAAACTGGTATTGTTACCTCACAACAAATTAACACTCCAGTACAGACGTGTTACTTCTTATCCGTTAACAAGACCAGAAAAAGTTTGCATGACAGTTTATAAAGGTTTGCTACCATTAATTTTACTACCTTCTAGATTAAACAAATGAAAAAAGTATGCAACTTGAGATGATCCAATACCTGGTTGTCCTGGTGATCCTGGAGGACCTGGACGTCCATCTTTACCTTGTCCTGGAGGCCCTGGTGGACCTCTAAGTTTTGCTGTCAATTCTACTAATTTTTCTAGAGGAATATTTACAAATTAATATATATTGTTAAATTTCAACTTTAACAAAACTAGTTCAGATTATAACTAAGCCTTTGAGTATGTTTACCTTTGTTTCACCACAGTTAACTCTGATTTTGAGCATGTCATTACAATTTCTGCTATAGTTAAACCATAATTTAGATGCAATCATGACTTGTTAAGGAAAGTTAACAGCTTTTCCTGAATTAATTTCAAGTGAGAATCAACATGTACCTGTTACTATTGCCTGTTAAGGCACTAAGGTCAACAGTTAAAAATATGGTTGTGCCATTCCATTTTGCCTACTAAGCCTTCTAAAGTACACTATGGTAAGGCAGTTAAAATTACTGTTTGTTAAGATCAGTAAATAAAGCGATGTTACATATATGATAAAGTAAAAAATTTGAACATGAGTTCTGTAAGCTGTGGATTGAAATACAAAACCTAGCTGGCATAGATTTTTACTGTTGACTTTTATTGTGTGCAAAAAATTCAAATATCTGAAAAATAAGTTTATTTTTGAAAGAATAATTTATCAGTTGAGATTTGCTTACTAATTAGATTAAGGTGATTTTAACTCGAGACAAATTTAATTACAGTTTATTTAATACTACCATAAAAAATCCCAGATTAGGGTGATTTGAACTTTAGAAATGTTTAATTACAGTTTAAATAATACTAGCTATCTTTAAAAAATCTGCAGAAATATTTCAAATAAGGTGCATCCACGAGCCTAGAAGTGGTGATAAAAAGGGTTTGTTTCCACATTCTTCGTAATTATTCCATAACAGATCTAAAATCACATAAAAATAATGTGTTAAATCTCTCTCCATTTTTGTTTTTTATCTGCCACAAGTTGTTTATCAGGAGACCTTTTGCTTGGCCTGGCATAGACTGGTGGTTAGGGTGTTAGACTTACAACCTTAGCGTGGTAGATTTGAAACTCTTTGCTTAACATGCTTGTCCTTCCAGCCATGAGGGTGTCATAATTTGACAGGCAATGCTACTATTCAGTTGGTATACAGTTGGTTGTGTTGATACTATAACTTCCATATTGGAGACAGCTTATAGCCTTTGAGTAGCTTTGCATGAAATTCATCAACAAACAGCGGCCATTTATTCAATACCAGAATACAAAAGCAAATAAAATAGACACTTCACCATGATCTAGTTATGACAATATTTCTACTTTTGCTAAAGAACAAGGTTCTTTGTTACCTTACCTTGCAATACAGAAGAACACAATTCTCTCATTTCCTCTTCTGAAAAGCTTCTTCCCTGCACAGAATAATACACTGTAAACAATCAAGCTTCAATAATACACAGTAAACAATCAAACTTCAATAATACACTGTAAACAATCAAACTTCAATAATACACAGTAAACAATCAAACTTCAATAATACACAGTAAACAATCAAACTTCAATAATACACAGTAAACAATCAAACTTCAATAATACACAGTAAACAATCAAACTTCAATAATACACTGTAAACAATCAAACTTCAATAATACACAGTAAACAATCAAACTTCAATAATACACTGTAAACAATCAAACTTCAATAATACACAGTAAACAATCAAACTTTAATAAGATTTAAAAATGTATTTTCCTGTTCAGAATAATAAACCAGCATTATTAGGTTCTTTAATCATAGAAGTTGACAAACTTCAATAATACACAGTAAACAATCAAACTTCAATAATACACAGTAAACAATCAAACTTCAATAATACACAGTAAACAATCAAACTTTAATAAGATTTAAAAATGTATTTTCCTGTTCAGAATAATAAACCAGCATTATTAGGTTCTTTAATCATAGAAGTTGACAAAAGGAGAGAATAATACACAATAAACAAATATCAATCCAAACGGATGTCCTTAATACATACACCTCTGAGTGAACCTTCTTAATACATACACCATACACCTCTGAGTGAACCTTCTTAATACATACACCATGTACACCTGAGTGAACCTCCTTAATACATGCACTATACACATCAGAGCGAACCCCTTTAATACACGCACCATGCACATCAGAGTGAACCTCCTTAATACATACACCATACACATCTGAGTGAACCTCCTTAATACATGCACAATGCACATCTGAGTGAACCTCCTTTAATACATGCACAATGCACATCAGAGTGAACCTCCTTAATACATGCACAATGCACATCTGAGTGAACCTCCTTAATACATGCACAATGCACATCTGAGTGAACCTCCTTAATACATACACAATGCACATCTGAGTGAACCTCCTTAATACATGCACAATGCACATCTGAGTGAACCCCTTTAATACACGCACCATGTACATCTGAGCAAACCTCCTTAATACATGCACAATGCACATCTGAGTGAACCTCCTTAATACATGCACAATGCACATCAGAGTGAACCTCCTTAATATGTGCACAATGCAAATCTGAGTGAACCTCCTTAATACATGCACAATGCACATATGAGTGAACCCCTTTAATACACGCACCATGTACATAAGAGTGAACCTCCTTAATACATGCATTATGCACATCTGAGTGAACCTCCTTAATACATGCACAATGCACATCTGAGTGAACCCTTTTAATACATGCACAATGCACATCTGAGTGAACCCCTTTAATACATGCACAATGCACATCTGAGTGAACCTCCTTAATACATGCACAATGCACATCTGAGTGAAACCCTTTAATACATACACCATACACATCTGAGTGAACCTTCTTAATACATACACCATACATATCTGAGTGAACCTTCTTAATACATACACCATGTACATCTGAGTGAACCTCTATAATACATGCATCTTGCATATCTGAGTGAACCTCCTTAATACATGCATCTTGCATATCTGAGTGAACCTCCTTAATACATGCACCGTAGTCAAACATAATGGACTCAAGTCACTCAAAGATGGCTAGAGATAATTTTATACAGTAAATAATAAAAGGACTTCAACTGAAAAGGAAGAATCAAGCACTTAATAGACAAACTTAGCTTAAAACAATTAATTTTCTCTTACTGAAGGGCCAGGAAGTCCTGGCATTCCTGGTTGTCCTCGACTCCCAGGCTCACCTGGAATCCCTGGAGAACCTGAAGATCCAGGAATACCAATCGGACCTGGGAAACCTTGTGGGCCACGTTCTCCTGGAGCACCCCTCTCACCAGGCTTAAAATAAAATTATTTGTGAGATATTTAACCTGAAACTGTATTTCAAAAAAATCAATAATTTACGATTAATAAAAATCATTGTGGCACTAAAGAATGTAATTAATTTTAAAACAATTAGTAACAACTTTGAAACTATAATCCTATGAGTGGTATAACTTTAAAACTATTTAATTATAAACCATATAGTAAAAAATATCAAACTGTTTTTTGGCTGACTCATGTTCTCTCACCTAATTTGAGTCAATAGAATGAAATGTTTAATATTGATGTTCTAGATGTACAAGAAAAAAACCTCTTAGAATTGGCTTGATTTTTACTCACCTAAAAGAAAAATTCTTGACTTGCCTCAAATTTTTTCTTTCAGGTTTATTGGAGATGGGTTGTAGTATGAACTCAGTGAAAAATTGTACCAGCTTTAGAACTAACTCAGTAAGTTTTCATTTTAAATAAAAATAATTACTTACCAGTCCAGGGGGTCCCATTTTACCTAGTGAACCCTGTAAGTAGAAAAATACTATTTTTAAATTTATATCATAATATTACCGTCAAGAAGTGCAATGATATGGGACATTATTAATGATAATAACTGATTATGTTAGGATTTTGGCAAGTAGATGTAATATTTTGTAACAGTCTTTTTTTTAGTATTCAAGGTGTTAAAAAGTTCATTTAAGCATGTACGGCAATTTTAAAATAAAACATTCAAACTGAAACCATGAGATTTTAAACAAGTATTTGTAAGACTAAACACAGTTAAAGATCCTATATTAAATATAAAAATCTGAGATCCAAAGATGTACAAAAATCTCTATCAAGTCAACAATTACACTCTTATTTTGAAGAAGTTTAAAATACGTTTTTACTGTAATTAGAACATTTCTTGCATAACTTGAGTAGTTTCATTAGGCTACCAACAATGTGCCAGCTTCTTTATCTACACTGAGATTAGTTTATAATTAATGGCTTATCATCTGGTGAAAATATATAATTTATTTAGCATTTTTTAACCATTTTAGGAAATTTTCGAGAGAGTTATCTAGTTACCTTTGGACCTCGTACACTGCCATATCGATCAGATTCTATTCCAGCATCACCCTGGAAAAATAGCAGATATTGTTAAATGTTTTCCACATTCATATATACATTTTATTATAAAGGTTTTCCACATTCATATATACATTTTATTATAAAGGTTTTACACACATTCATATTTACACTTTATTATAAAGGTTTTACACATTCACATACTCATATTTACACTTTATTAGATAGAAATACAAAAAATCTAATGTATACTAGTGTGAACATCAAATAATGAAGTTTCATAAACAGAAGCACTGAAGAAAAAAAACCCATACCTTAGGTCCTGGTGGCCCAGGTGGTCCTGGAGGCCCCTGCAGTGATTCAGATATTCAGTTTTCATTTAGATGAGAGATATATTAACACATTAAAAATATGACATTCTATACAGTTCTACCACACACAATATACATGATAATAACAAGGTATGTGTCATAGACTAGAGATATGTTAACAAGCTAATAAATATGATATTGTACAAAGTTTTATCATAAACATTATATATGATAATAACGAGGCATATATCATAGACTAGAGATATGTTAACAAGCTAATAAATATGATATTGTACAAAGTTTTATCATAA